CTGAAATTTAATTATTTAAATAACATTAAATATAACTGGATCACCGATGTCGTCTTCTCGAATGAGTTCCACATGGCGGTGGTTGCCTATTTCGTGGAGGATTTCTTCGTGGAACTTGTTCTTCAGTCTCCTCATCTTCACTATCATCATCAGCAGCATTTTCTTCATTTGGTGTAGATGACGCTGAAGAGGCTGAAGGGTGTGTATAAAATAACGACCCTGGAGGAGTGCTAGTAACAATCCCACCGCTCCCCGGGAACTGTGGAAACAGTGGAAACATTGGCATCGATGTATGTGATCCAGATGAAGATTGAGGTGTCTGCGGAGAAGCACCACCAGCTAAATAAGATGCATATGAACCATATGCTGGATCATTAAACATAGTCGTATATGCACCTCCATATGATATAAAACCCTGCGGGCTAGGCATGTAACCTGGCGGGCTAGGCATGTAACCTGGCGGGCTAGGAATGTAACCCTGCGGGCTCGGAATGTAACCCTGCGGAGATGGCATATAAACTGGTGGGCTTGGCATATGAAGTGGAGGGCTGGGCATGTACCCCTGCGGCATCGACGAATAAGGATGTTGTGGTGGGACTGATGCAGAACCGGTAGCGCCTTCTCTCCGTCCACGCGTCGGGGGACGATGATATTGAGACGGTTGACGTCTTTCTCGGCGCCTAGGAATGTTAACCCCTCGTGCTTCCGCCGAAAGTAGAAACGGCTTCCCATTTTCATTAAACCAGTCCATATACTTATCCGTAACCATATGACCAGTTTCAGCGTAATATTGTCGAGGGGCTAACAGTGTATATCGGTTCTCCCAAAGCGCAATCCAATCTCTGTGTCTCACCACCCAGTTAACATCTTTCTTTTCCCGTCTATCTATGTTATGCACGTCGTCTAAATTTCTAGGAGCTCCAGGAATATATTGCGTACAACCATACTGGCGGAGCACGCGATCAACTGGATGCCACTCAATAATAGCATAACATATAAGAGGTATAATCGATATCCATACCTCTAATGACCCACTAAGGTGGGGTGGGATGCAAGCTTTCACTTCATCGCTCGCATAAGGTATCCACTGAAACTGAAATATAAATATACAATTCAAATAAATAAAATATTCTAATTATATCTAACATTTTAAATTAAAATATTAATAATTAAACAAATTTAAAAACATACCTCAGACCCAGCTTTCGTATCAATAAGTAAACGAATTTCCTCTAACCCAGTAGGTATACTTTTATGGTCCTTTCTTTTCATCGACCACCTATGAAATATAATATAAACTAAATATCACCCTATTTAATTGAAAATATTTAAATCAAAATTTAGTTCGAAAATTACCTCAACAATAAGGGGAATACGTATGGTTCATTCACGATCGGGCATAAGAAAGGCATGCGAAACCACGCCCATGATTGTAGAAGCAGAAGACATCCACCGATAGCAGTTTTCTTATAATTCGTCGCCCGACACATTTCTCTAAAGAGAAATGCCAAAACTGCAGCACCCCAACTATATCTTCCAGCTTCATCAAAATCGATCAGATGCCGCAACCACATACAATGCACCTGGTTGCGAGATTTGTCGGGCATCAATATTCCTCCAATTATTCGTAGAATATATGCCCGAGCACATGCCTTTGCTTGATCCTCTGAAGCATTTTCATTTAAAACCTCAAAATTAGCTTTCAACCAAGATAAAGCTATTCTACCTCCATTAAACTCTGGCGGAGCAGCTCCAAGATAATCAATGCACATTGATTGCCAATCACCATCCGCCATACCACACATCATATTTCCGTCGACGGGAAGCCCCATATGCATAGAGACATCCTCCAATGTAATTGTTGCCTCTCCACATGGAAGGTAAAAAGTATGTGTCTCGGGCCTCCACCTCTCAATCAGTGCAGAAATTAGAACAGGTTCGAGTTTGCAACCGCCTATAATTGTTGCAATATACCCGAACCCGGCAGAAGCCAAATATGGCAAAATACGTTCCGGTGTCGGTATACGTGGATTTTTAATAAAAGTTTCTAAAATACGATCATCATCCTAAATAATATATATTATAAAAAATAAAAATTAATATAAATTCATAATAACTTTAAAATAAAATTAAATTTAAATATTAACATTAATTATAAAAAATATTACCATATCGCTAAAATGTCTGGAGATATGATCAATATCCAATCGCAACAACATTTCGTTTTCCATTATAACTGTAGACAAAACAATATAATTAGCAAAAAAATTAATAATTCTAAATAAATAATAATTTATAAATATTATTTTAATAAAAATATAATATTTACATAAATATATTAATATAAAAAATAATAACTATTTAAAAAAATACTAACATAAAAATAAATTTCTTACCACTAATAACAAATTTAAAACTCAAATAGTTGGAGAATTTGAGTTATATAAGAGAGGAGAAGATGATTTTGGTGTGAAGAATGAGTGAGGGTTGAGGGGGTTTATATAGGGGAGGAGGAGGGGTAGTTAGGAAAAACGGATGGGGGGCATTTATGACATTTAATGGAAGGCGCGTCCCCGGGGATGCGCTTTCCACACGTGTATACTGATATGGCAAAGGCGCGTCCCCGGGACGCGCCTTTCACACGTGGCATCCAACTCAGCGAAAACACGGGTAAAGCGCGTCCCCGGAGACGCGCCTTTGCCAACTCAGCAGAAAGGGTGCTAGTTTTGGAAATATTGATCAAACGGTGTTAGAAAGGTAAAATTAAAAACAAACGGTGTCAGTTATGTAATTTAGCCCCTTATCCTTTGAGCTGCTTGACAGATTCAATGAAAACCTAAACCTAATAAATTAGAATGAGAAACCCGAAAATTAATTAAAATTAATTATCATAAATAAATAAACTTAATCAAAACCGAAATCTGCCATATTGAAGAGGAAGTTTCAAGAAGGAAAAGAATTCCTTTCTATGAAATATGACCTGTAACCTACATTCAATGTTAATCAAATTTAATACTTTTGTACCAAATTGATATAAAAAAACTAAAATCAAAATTTTAATTTAAAAGAAACAATAAAGAGTACCTATATTCTTCCTGCATGTACTTACATTTCTTCATCATCATTTAAGATAAAATGATTATTTGTCCTAAGTTGTTTCTTCATAAAAGAATGTTATATCTGAAAATCCACATGGTAAGCAGGCAGTGGTGGATTAAAAAAGCTAATAGAATCTCGATATGCTACGCTACTGATCAGATCACCGGCACGTGTCCACATATTGAATCAATCTTTTCCAACGTAGAACCACAAATTCAACGACACGTCATTGCCGGAACAAAACCACGTATGGGTACAAAGTTTCGACGGGCGCAGGTGGCGACTGTTGATTGGATGACGGGTGACAGGTGAAAGGTACTTGTCCGTAGGCAACTGGTTTTATTGGGGGGATTCCTTGGGTTTTCTCTTAAAATAAAAAGGAAGGGTTTTCAAAATGTGTTTCTTTTCTAATATAATAATAATAATATTCAAATGGAGAATCAAAGTTAAGTACGTTGCGACTGCTCTTTGATAGCTACCAAAATCATCCGGGCTGGACCTCCATTTATCCAGGATCGATCCAGACGATTTAACCATGATGAAGTTCTGTAGTGAAGATGACGAGTTGTCCAAGAAACATGTATATACATCTATGTTTGGTTGTATATGTGAGATTTGAAGATGTAAATGTTTTTTATTATGAGTGGTGGAACGTGATTCATGCAGCCGTCATTTTTATTATTATTATAAAACACATGACATGATGAATGGATGATGATTCTCACTCATCAATTATATTTTAATACTGCATTGATACATGAAGTATCATGATATTAAAATTTGGAATTCCATTTGATTATTATTACATAATATAAGCTAGACAAAATAGGACGGCTTGGACTTAGATGCCGACATAACAGCTTTTACCCTTTTCTTTTCCAACTCTAATTTTTACGGGAAAATTAAAATTTCCATCTTTCAACTTTTTATCATTTATATTTTGATCATTAAAGTTCAAGAATTATTTATTTATTTATTGAACTTTTGATTTATTCCTATTTTAGTAATTCACATGTTAAATAAAAAATGAATGGTTGACATGGCCACCATGTGTGTTGATGTGAACTAATTTTTATCAACATGTCTTCCTTTTAATGTTTCCCCTTTTTTCCCCTTTTTTTCCTTTTCCCTTTTCTTTTTCTAAAGATGGAAGTTTTATAATTTCATCATTGTCTCACGTCGGCCCTAAAACTATCATTTTATGACATTTTATCTAAACACTTTAGATATTAACTAACTCACATCCTCATCTCCTACCACTTTATCAGTTTAGATTTTAAATAAATCACTTTAAAACTGATGAAATCCAACCTTAAACTCAAAACTCATGAAATCCTAAACCACTTTGATTTATAATATCCATCATTTGATCAACGTGGAATAAAGATATACAACTTGCTTCATCCTTCTCCACATGCCCACGGTTGGGATTTGGAAGAATATGTTTCATCATTGATAAACCAAAGGGAGTTCAAAATTAGGAATTTTTTCACAACAAAATTAAGAAAGTTTGAGGCCATTTCATAATTTTGAAACGAAAAAATGTCAAATCATAATTCCATTAAGTATTTAACGAATGAGTGATCAGAATAGGAACAAATTGAAAGTTTAATGAGTAAATTAAAAAAAAATTACCTTTAGTGACCAAAATAGGAGCAGAAAGAAAGTTGGGTGATGAAAATTATAATTTATCCAACTTTTGTGTACTGACCTCGTGTGTTAACTGTTTCATTCCAAAATTATAACCCAAGTGCTCAAAATCATTTAGTTTAAAATACATAATTAAAATCATATTGAGAATTTATGTCATAATTTAAGAGGGTGACGAAAATAAAAGAGTAATAGAAAAAGAAAGAAAAATGGAAATGGGGAATATTAAGAAGGCAAAAGAGGAAAAGCACCATACGTTATCACTTATCATTTCCCCCATAGATTTTGGATATAAGAAGGGGATTAGTGGCATTTACAAATCCTATGCGAGACACCCAAAACCAAGCAGATACTCTGCTTGCATATGGGGCTTATAAATACCATATTATTCACAAGTGCAAACGTCTAAAATCTTTCCCTTTTCCACGATTTTAACCAGCTTGTACATGAAGAACAAAGATTTGCAGCAGTAAACTAGGAAGAATTATCCAGGCAAAGATGTTAGAATACACTGCGGAGATGGCCGGGCCTTTTTCCAGCGTCACAACGACGACGACCAAGAAGAAGAAGAACAAGAACAAGAGGAGGTTCAGCGATGAACAAATCAAATCCCTGGAATCGATGTTCGAATCCGAGACAAGGCTCGAACCTCGGAAGAAGTTGCAGGTGGCTAAAGAATTGGGTTTGCAGCCACGACAGGTTGCGATATGGTTCCAGAACAAGAGAGCACGGTGGAAATCGAAGCAGCTTGAACAAGATTACAGTATCCTACAAGCCAATTACGACAATCTAGCTGCTAAGTACGAAAGTTTAAAGAAAGAGAAACAGGCCTTGGTGATTCAGGTACTTAATTACTTTCTTAATCCAACAGTTAAGCTTTAAAAACAGCAATGAAACTTATATACTATATTTAACCCTTAATTTACAGTTGCAGAAGCTGAATGATTTAATCAAGAAGCCGAAAGAGGAAGCCCAGTGTTGCAGACAAGTTACAGCCACGAACCGCAACGATGGAGATAAGGGAGAGACGACTGTGAAGTCTGATTCCGAAGGGCAGCTCAGTTTCTCAATGGGAAGATCGGAACATGCACCGGGAGTCTTATCTGATGACGATAGCGCCATAAAGACAGACTATTTTAGACCGGAAGAAGATCCCAACCTCATGAGCATGGTGGATCCGGGTGATGATTCTTTAACATCTCCGGAAGATTGGCGCAGTTTCGACTCCAATGGTCTTTTCGATCAGTCCAATTGTGGTTATCCATGGTGGGATTTTTGGTCTTGAAATAACAAAAACTATTAGAGGAGATTGTATTCAAATAATCTTTGCTTCCGTATAGAGGAGAAAGCATGAATATGTATCCATTGAATTTCAGATGAAGAGAAGTAGATTTTGTCTAAAATCCAACATAGAAAATCTACTGAAATTAGAACAGAGTATAAACATGCTGAATGCTGGAATCTTGGACGGAAGTTGATAAGGCTAAGTTCTTCTGGGACTGTAGTGTACCCTTTGTAGTCGATTTCTTTTTTTCTCCTTAAATTCTTAATTATCTTTCAATGGAAACGATAAACAGTCAGTATGAGGCTAGTGGGCGTTGGAATAAACATGGATGGTAAGTACTATCCAAGGGACTTTCATTTGTCTTTTGTGTATCAGAATTCTGCCTGCTTGGGATAATAAAATATAGCACAAATTTATCCAGAAAAGGATAAGCTGTCACCTGAAAATGCTATATTCTGTTCCTATTTAAATAGTGCATAGTAACAAAAGTCCCGAAAGTTCACTGGGAGCAACATTACATCCCGCACAAAGATGTGGTTTAGATTAAAAATATTGACGGGATTGTTAAACCGAACCCCTGTGCCTTATTTAGCCATGGTATCCGCACACCTATTAGTTTTTCTCAAGACAAGTCAGTGTAGAAGCTTCTTGCAATCATCCATAAAAGCACATTATATCGGATCATAATGCATGTTGTTAGAGACGAGGATAATAACAGCAATTGCGTCAATTTTTATTATTAGTTTCCTAATATTAAAGTTCAAGGCAAGTTGGAGTCCAAATCGAAGTGTTGAGTGGGAGCCAAAAGTCCATTACCCAATATGGTTGTGCATGATTTATGTTTCATTTTTTCCCGATTAGTCTAAAGTGATTATAATATAGTATTTATTCAAAAGACTTTTAATTATTTGATAATAAACACTTAAATACTCTTGCAAATGCCGTGCTCGTACCTAAAACATCTAGAAATAACAATCATATCTTAATCACTTGCCTGATTCATACTCTATTTATCATTGGAACCACTTGTTGGATTCTCATAATTTATATATATATATATATATATATATGATTGAATGATAACAAAGGATAACCTTTGTGAACATGCATAAGTGCTCATATCTTCTTTGGTTTAGGGACGTCATGGGTCGGATCGAATTAATTTTTTTAATAACTCGAATTTACCTGAAAAGTAAGTTTCTCTATTTGCACTCGACACAAATAGGGTTTACGAGGGTTCCGTTCAACTCGAATTTGACTCTAATTTTTAGGTGAAAACTCGTATTTGATCCAACTCAGACCAAATGTCCATTCCTACTCTGGCTTTGAGGTTCTAAGGTAACGATGGGCCTTTGTCCAACTTTTGGTGCGGTTAGAATGGGTTTCTTATTTCATTTTCATAATGGATCAGACTCATTGGAATTTGTACGAAAATTAGGATGCATAAGTGAACCCGCAATCTAAGTCCTAATTCTCAAACCTGAGCCGAGGAAACACCCGTTTCGAACTAGCCATTTTGGTCCATTTTCTAAATCAGTAGTAAAAGGTACAGCTTATCATTTTCTGCAGACGTGGTAAAATTAGTCTAAACTCGAAATTAGTAGAAAATTAACCCAATCTCTCAAATAACCAAATGGTCCAAATCTGATTCTCTTCTCTTTGTGGATAATCAATTTTACAAATGGTATGAAGAATTTGATTTCACTGCAAAAACATGGCTAAAATTATGAACACAATAAACTCCAATTATTTCTCCATCTTCCACAGTTATTTTATTACTGGGTAGAAAACAAACAAAATAATTAGGGGAAATCATATGGGCAATTAACAACGCTAACTGCAACTATTCTTGCACGTTTAGTTAATTGCAGAGGACACGAAGACAATCACGTTCTCACATTTTGATTATTCTAAAACTATCCCTTTTTAGATTACGGTGAATTGCAAAGCTTAAGCTAGAAAATTACAAGGCTTTGTTAGCATTATTTGAGCCATTTACTTAGCGGGATTTCTGGGATATGTTGTACTCAGGCTGAATAAGATGGGGTGAAGAAGCAATTTCACCAACTAGACAGATGGGAAAGATAACGATCATCCATGCCTATGTAAATTTAAGGGATAAAGCTATATTGAATTTTCCCTAAACTTTTAGGATATTTGTACTTTGGTTACAAAACTTTTAAAATTTGTATTAGATTTATTGAATTTTAATTTACTTTTATTTTAGTCACTATTATTATTAACATCTGATATGACACGCCCACATATCATTTTCCTTAGTAAATTAATATTTTATAGGAAATTAAGGAAAATATATATAGCTAGTGAAGATCAAATATAGGATCCCTTAACATCTAACCATTAAGTTACGTTGACTCTTTTTTTTAGTGAATTTTAACCCAAACGTTTTAAGTTTGACAAAATAATCTATGTTGGGTGAAAACCGTTAGTTAATTAACAATTAACGCACATTACTGACATGATATTTTTCACATGTGATTGATTGATGATGCGACATATATCACGCCATCACTTTAATGACATAACATACGCCATACCATCAATTTTAATGACATGACATGTGCTACAATATTACTTTGAGTGATGTGTCACTTGTCACATCATCACTTTGATAATATGTCATGTGATATGTTAGCAATTAAGTACATATGAAAATTTCACGTCAACAAATTTTGATCAAAATTGAAAATGTTGGGCTAAAATACTCTAAAAAGAATCATGACCAAATGGCAATCTGTGCAAATATCGAGGGCTAATTTGTCATTATACCTTTAATTTATTAAAATAAGTAACAGGGAGATGTATCATGTAAGTTTTTGTTAATGATAGTAACTCCAACGTGAGTTTTGGAAGTTTAGTATATAAAGTACAAACATCTTAAAAGTTCAGTACCCATTTATATAATTTACCCTAAGTTTAATCTTCATGGATACTAAATCATGATTAGGTTAACGATGTGATGGCCTATTTTCCTCTTGGACTACTACTCCCAATTTTTCTTGATGAAGATGGATTTCATTAGTATTTGTTTATCTATAAGACTTTATAAATTAGGAAATGGCACGGGAAGTTGGTGAATGAATTAGGTTTGAGTTTACATTTTTCTTTCAGTGGAATTGGGACACAGTGGGTAATAGTGTGTGTCGTATGATTCAAAGTATTTTTGCCGGAGGTGCTTTTAATAAAGAAATAAATCGAACTCTTTTGGTGCTAATTCCAAAAGTCAAATTACCGGAGTCGTTTAGCCAATTTCAACCTATTAGTTTGTGCTATGTTTTATATAAGCTTGTTATGAAGATTATTGTGAACTGGTTGAAGCCTTTGTTGGGACACTGGATAACGGAAACTCAAACGAGTTTTGTTCCCGGAAGGTTGATCACTGATAATATTATTATTGCTCAAGAGGTAGTCCACTCCATGAGGTTGAAGAAAGGAAAGGTTGGCTTAATGGCTATTAAAATTGAGCTTGAGAAAGCATACGACTGCCTTGAATGGTCTTTCATCGAAGACACTTTAAGAGAACTTCATCTCCCAGACAACCTTAGGATGCTTATCATGCGATGTGTATCTTCTGTCTCGACCCATGTACTTTGGAATGGTTCTATGTCAGAATCTTTTAAGCCAACAAGAGGGATATGTCAGGGTGATCCTTTATCGCCTTAATTGTTTGTGATGTGCATGGAACGGTTGGCACATGCGATCTCTGGAGCAGTTAAAGATGGGAAGTGGAAACCTATTCGATTGTGTCGTAATGGGTCTGCTCTCTCCTATCTTTTTTTCACCGATGATTTAATGCTTTTTGCTGAGGCTTCTCTTGAACAATGTTATGTAATAGGGGGAATCTTGGATCACTTCTGCCGCTTCTCAGGTCAGAAAATTAACATACAGAAAACAACAATTTATTACTCAAAGAATGTGGATTCCGGTTTGAAAAATTCCATTAGCTCAAATTTTGGTTTCCATGAAGTACAAAATTTGGGGAAGTATCTAGGAGTCCCTTTGCTCTATTCTCAGATTACGAGATCTTATAGCTATATTGTTTCGAGAATTCTAGACAAACTCTCTGTGTCGATGGCAAAATCTCTATCTTTGGCCGGGAGAATCACTTTGGCGAAAGCAGTTTTATCATCTATTCCTTATTACTCAATGCAGTCCACGCTTCTTCCGAAAGAGATTTGCGAATAGATTGAAAAGTTAATTTGGGGTTTTATTTGGGGTCGCACTAATTCTAAAGGTGGAGTCTCTCTTGTCAATTGGAACAATATTTGTAAACCTACTACAAGGATGGCCTTGGTATGAAGAAATTAAATGTTCAAAATGTTGCATTTCTTATGAATCTTTCTTATAACTTGGTTGTCAATTCAGATCAATTGTGGATTAGAGTGTTACGCTCTAAGTATAAGTGGACAAATGGGTTTCCAAAATCCATTGAACGTAAGGTTAGTTCTCATATCTGGAAAGGCATTTCTCTAGTTTGGAGCGATGTGCATCAAAACATTGTTTAGAATATTGGCAATGGTTGTAGTGTGGATTGGCGCCTTTGAATGAATTTGTCGCTAATCAATCGGAGAGAGACTCACAACCAAGGAGGACAGTGGAATCTAAGGTTGATAGCGATGGTCAATGGCGTTGGCCGCTATTTGTTGACAGACTACCAAATCACATTTTACTTCGGTTGGCAGCAACGATGCCTCAATGGCAGATTAGCAAAGTGGATGCGCTGGGTTGGAAATAGAACAACGATCGTTGTTTCTCGGTTAAATCGACCTATGACATGAGGTTGGGAGAATCGAATGTTATTCCCCATAAAGTTTGGAACGTCATATCGAAGTACCGAGGGCTACAAAGGATTAAAGTTTTCTTGTGGTTATTAACTAGTGATCGTCTTCTTACTAATACTGAACGAGTACGATTACATATGACCACCAATAGTTGTTGTGGAGTTTGCGGACAGACTGGAGAAACAATTGATCACCTCTTTCGCAAATGTCATTCAGCCGTTGTTGTTTGGTCATCGCTAATTAAAGCATATAAGCTATCTGATTTTTTGTCGAGAGGAATCAAAGATTGGGTGCAAATTAATATTGCTTCCCCGGGATTTTATGCGCGTGAAGAAGGTGATTGGGATTTACTTTTTAGCTCGATTCTTTGGTCGATCTGGAATAATCGTAATAAGAGGATCTTTGAGACGGATTACATTGAGCAGGAGTCTGTTTTAGCAAGGAGTAGGCGCCTCTGGTTTGAAGCTAAACGTGCGCTTGAATCAACTTGTCAACGCTCCATTTTTCTGATCGGTTGTTTAACGTGTCTGTTTCATGGTCTCCGCCTCCTCTTAATTGATGTAAGATTAATATTGATGGTTCCCGCAGAACAGAAAATGGATTTGCTACTTGTGGGGTATTATTCGGTCCTCAAATGGGGGTTGGATTCTTGGTTTCTCTAAAGCTATTGGAATATGCTCTATCATTGAGGCGGAGCTCTGGGGTGTCTATGAAGGTCTTTCTCATGCTTGGAACCTTGGTGAGAGTCGAGTCATGTTGGAAGTAGATAGCTTGGAGGCTATTCGTATGCTACAGAAAACCTCTCATAGAGGCTCGATCTTTACTCTTCTGGACCGTATTACTGAGCTGCTAAACCAGGAATGGAATGTGACCTTGAGAAATATTAACAGGCTGCTAACCAGGTTACCGATAAACTAGCGAAGATAGCAGCAACAAGAGGTGTTGTTGATATGGTTTTCTCCACGCCACCGTTGGAAATTGCTTCCTTATTGCAGCAAGACTCTGCTGGTTTGTAATTTGGCAGTGGATGTTTAAGTTTTAGTTCACAATCTTATTTTATCAAAAAAAAAAAATTAAAATGCTTTATGAATATATGCTTTCACCATGCCCAAAGTCCAAAAGCTTGCTTTGTTTTGATTTTTCAGGCAATCACGTCATTTATAAACAACAGAATTAAATGATAAACAAGGAACTGATTTCCTTTGTTTTGATTTTATGTCCTCTTCTTTTCTTCAATTTTTTTTCTTATAATTTCTTTTTTCTATTTTATATATTATTTCTTTTTTTTTTAAAATAATGTTGATTTAATCGACAATACTAGATAATCTGACTATTAACTGCGTCTGTTTTGTATATATATATGCCGGATATGTGATTTATTTTATAGATATAAGATTTTTTGATTTAAAAGTATTTTTATTTTTTGTCAAAATAGTAGAGGATTATATCTTATTTGGCATAATAATTTTTGTTTTGTGTCATACAAGTTTTATTTTAGCTTTCACAAATTGTTTTTTTTAATCTTTCAGAATTAGTTTTATTCAGGTTTTTAAATAGCGTTCGCGGTCACGTTTTCGGTCGCATCGTTTTTATCACGATTGTGGATATAACGGATGCTATTGTAGTCATTGCGGATATCGCGATCGTGAATTTTTTTCGAAGGAGTGCTTTTTTTTAATAAAAAACATGTTTTTAAAAAATTAAAATAACAAAATAATAGAGGAATAACGGTCTGCTATTGCCGTGATTAACCGCGATCTGTTAAATTACGGCCGTGATCCGCCGCTATTGGTGTGATCCCGTTTCAACAGTTTTGGACACCGCCACGACCGCGATATAACGGCTGCAATACCGGTATTCGGCCGCTATTTGAATTCCTAATTTTATCATCACTTTTTTTAGTTGGTAGATATTCGATTTTTTTTCAACATATCTATTTTTGTTAGATTCAGTGGGATGTTAATTCGATAACTTATTACCTTGTTAGAATCCTTGTTTAGAATAGACTACTTTAATTAAAAATTATTCTTATAATATTTTTTTTGTTCTTAATGATAATAGTTATTTGAATAATGTCGATTCTTAATAAAGACTTAAATAGATAGTATTGGATAAAATTACTGACCTGAGAATAAGAATACTTCAAATATTTTGATGGTTATGTTATTGATTTTCTTTCATAAATGCAGTTTTACGTTTAAAAAAAATCATATCCTAGGCTAACACTTTATTAATTTGGTTAATTAACTTTTTTTTCTACCTATTTAGCCGACTTTGTTCAATTTAAGTTTGTAATTTTGAAATATAACTATACATGTAAATAAAAGAACCTTAAACAAGGATATGTATTAATATTAAATTGTAAAAAAGGCAAATATTGACCACTTTTTAAAGGGGTAAGCAAAATTCTAAAGGGTAAACTACACAGGAGACCACTAAACTATGATCAAAAATTAATATGATCATCGAACTTTCAATTGAATCAATCAGACCACCAAACTATTTAATTGATTCAATCAACCACCGACCGTTAATTTTTAACAGAGGTGGTGACGTGTCCGTTAATCTTAATTGGCATAATTATATATTTGATCATTAATATTTACATATTCTATCAGTTTAGTCACTATTTTAATTCAATTAAATAAATTTAACTATCCAATTAGAACGTGACACGTGTCAATATATGATTGGAAGGTTTTATTTATGAATTTTAAATTATTTAATTAAATAAATTTTATATCCAATCAGGTGGTGACACGTGTCACCCCCTAATGGAAGTGAAAATTAAATGGACAAAGTTGAACTCTAAGGGGGTGTTTGGTTCAAGGATTGTGGGATTCCCATGGGATGGGAATCTCACATTCTCATATTTGGTAGGCCGGGAATCTCATTCCCGGTAATGTTTTATTACCAATAGTAGATTTTTTGGGGTATATTACTGGGAATGTCATTACCTCCCTTCCCTTAGGTATTGTAACATTACCGACGTTTTGGACTAAAATGCCCTTAATTTTTTTTTTTCAAAAATATCATTTTTCTGTCATTGAATAATAAAAATTCAACGAAGGTTAAATTACAAAATTATCCTTAAATTATTTTAGATTAAAAAAAAGTCTATAATTAAAATTTTATATAAAGTTCAGGGATTAAAATTTTTTTACCCTTTCATTAAATCTTTTTTATATTTTTAATTTTGTAAAAAAAAGTATATAAATATTATGAATTTAATTTTTTAAAGAAAATATATAAATATTTTACAATTTGTATTATTATAAAAACATATAATAAGGACAATTTGGTCAAATATACATTCCAATAATCTTTTATTCCTTTAACCAAATACGGTAATCTTACATTCCTGCTAAACCAACCAAACACAAAATACAACATTCCCAGTAATCCTATTCCCTAGTAATCTTTTATTCTCACTGGTAATCTTACATTTCGTGAACCAAACGCACCCCTAAGGGATTCAAACCAAGGTCACGCAGGGGGGGTGATAGAGCAGACGCACAAACTATTAGGTCAAAGGTTCCCAATGGTTTAAAGTTACAACAATTTGTATTTGTTTTTTTAAAGGTTTGTTAAGGATAGAAAATTAAACAAATTATTATTTAAATTAATTGTAATTTTTTTTGAATTAAAAATATTCAATTTTTATATAAATTAGAAAATTTTTAAAACAAAATTCTTTAATTCGAAAATTGACCGAATTAATCGAAATTTGTTCGGTTCGGTTAATAATTTTTAAATAAATTTCGGTTCGATTAATAGTTAAAGAAAAAAATGGTAATTCGGTTCGGTTAATAATTTTCAAATAAATTTTGGGTCGATTAACCAAACCGAATTAACCAAATTTTTGCTTCGTATAATTCGATTAATAATTTAAAAAATTTATTAATTTGGTTCAGTTAATAATTTTCAAATTAATTCGGTTCGATTAATAATTTTTAAACTAACCGAACCGAATTAACCGAATTTTTGCTTCGATTAATAATTTAAAAAATCGGTTAATTCAGTTCGGCTAATAATTTTCAAATTAATTCAGTTCGGTTAATAATTTTCAAATAAATTTTGGTTTGATTAACCGAACCGAATTAACCGAATTTTTGCTTCGATTAATTCAGTTAATAATTTTAAAAAAATCGGTTAATTCAGTTCTGTTAATAATTTTAAAATAAATTTTGGTTCGATTAACCGAACCGAATTAACTGAATTTTTCTTTAACCTTCAATCGAACCAAAATTTATTTGAAAATTATTAGTCATGAATAATTTATTTAATTTTTTAATAATTTATTTAAACAAATAATTTGTTTAATTTTTTATCCTTAACAAACATTTAAAAAACAAATACAAATTGTTGTAACTTTAAACTATTGGGGACCTTTGGCCCAATGGTTTGGGCGCCTACTCTATCCCCGCATGACCCTGGTTTGAATCGTTTAGAGCGCTACTTTATCCCTTTAATTTTCACTTCCATTGGGTGTTGACACGTGTTACCACCTGATTGGATAGAAAAAATTATTTAATTAAATAATTTAAAATTCATAAATAGAACATTCTAATCATATATTGACACGTGTCACGTTCTAATTGGAAAGTTAAATTTATTTAATTGAATTAAAATAGTGACTAAATTGATAGAATATGTAAATATTAAGGACCAAATATATAATTATGCCAATTAAGCTTAACGGACACGTCACCACCTCTGCTAAAAATTAACGGCCAATGATTTGATTGAATCAATTAAATAGTTTGATGGTCTGATTGATTCAATTGAAAGTTCGGTGGTTACATTAATTTTTGACCATAGTTTAGTAATCTTCCGTGTAGTTTACCCAATTCTAAATCCAAAAAGGTAATCTTCATATCTTCAACTAAAGCTACTTTGAATATATTAAAGGAATAAAATAACACTGAAATTTATGATTGAAGGGTTAGGTTAGGAACTTAAAGATTATCAAATCTTTAATTATTTGGGAACCCAATTATCCGTCTATCCTAATAGATTTGAATCATTCTTCTTAGAAAAATATATGGGAATCTGTTTCATATATCATTTTTTTTTAAATGCATTTGCCATAGGTTTATACAAACACTATGTAACACCCCCAACCCGTATCCGACCCGGATACGAGTCCGAAGTGTCACATTGACTTTTCAAACATTTATTCGTATAAAATAGTGAGTAATTTAAATTTTTTTATAACATTTAACTTATTCAAAACGTTTACAAAATATATAAGAGTTCATACAATTTATATCTTTAGACTACATACCAACAACACTCTATATACAGTACATATATTTTCTGATCTGGCATTTGGTAAGGAGAACTGACCTGTCTTGCTCCGCATTACTCTTTACTCTTCTCGAAACCTACGTGTAAATCACTTACACGCTAAGTCATAGACTTAGTGAGACATATAACACATATAATAAAACCACAAACCATTTCATATAACATAATGCATACTTATATGTATATCATTAATATACTTATCAGTACTTATATCATTATTACTAATTTCTTATACTCACCATCGAGTATCCATGTCATTTCACAACAAAGCATATATATATAGTATAATAACAAGTTATTTATTATCTTTAAAGCCCTTGCATTAGCCCATGTATACATTTGAGAACTTAAGGTATGTGAGTACATTGAGGTTGTGCACTAATGTTGCCACCACAGCTCGTATCAATTCCCTCATGGGGCACCGAACCTTAGTTCAGTATTCGTCCCGAAGGACCCCATATGACCATCTAGGTAAACAGTCCATATGTCC